ATATATATATATATATATAAATGAGAATATGCCATTGAGCGAGTAGCACGTTGGCAGAGCTCCTATAGTTTTCATTGTTTAAAGTGGTTGCATTGGAAATTAAAAACTGAATTTAAGTCATATATGAAAATAAGTGAAAGTGCTATCACAACGGGTCTCAGTTTTTCTTCAAAAGACTGCAGTGCAGTGAAAATTTGACATTTGTTAATTCAACAGAACATTGACAAGCTAGTCCGATCATATTAATAAAGTGGTAGCCATGGGCAAGCCGGAAACACGTAGTGGTTTGTCTGACAAATCCAATATGGATGAAATTGAACAACTGATTACTAAGGTCTGTAGCAACTTCGTACGTCAATTAGAAGATAAACTTGAAAATAAATTTTCCAAATTAACTGAACAAGTTACTGAAGTTTCTAATACAATCAAACTTCTTAATCAAAGTGTAACTTCTAATCAAAAGGAAATTGAGAATATTAACATAACATGTGATTCTCTGGAACANGCAGGTAGATTTTGCTCGTTGCAATCACTTCACCTCACAAACACGTCCGCTCAGCTCGGCTGTTCGCACTGAACTGAAGATGACCGAAGTGTTCTTTTCTTACATGGATTTCGTCTTAGCATCCCGGGGTTTTAACTGGGATGCATCTCCTTCTTTGTCCTACAATGTATTTCCCTCTCTTTCACTGTCGCATATGGTTGTAATATGTGTTTATACTAAGCTACACCCCTGAGAAGTTATAGGCATTGAAAGTGAGATTTCAAATTTCGAAAAAAATCAATATCTCAGTTATAACTTAGAAAAACCAAATTTGGTGTGAGTGTACCAAGAGCATTAATCGACAGTAAGCAATTGAAGCATTTTCTCGTCGCTTCTATGGTGCCTAGTAATGGATGGCCTCTTGGAACGCCTATCCATGGAGGGATAAAGAGATGCCCAGGCTTACGCTGATGATGGCGTGGATCTAGTCGAGGGTCGGTTTTTGGACATGGTATGCAACAGAAGGCATGTAGGATTATAGAGAGGTGGTGTGAGGCTCTCCGTCAATACAAAGAAGACTAAGATAAACCTATTTACAAGGAGAAGGAGATAGGCAACTTCAGGGCCCCAACCATGTATGAGAAGTCCCTGACTTTGGGCAAGAAAGTCAAATACCTGGGGGTAATCCTGGATAGTAAACTGTTTTGGGGGCACAGGTTTAAAGAATTACCCGGAAATCAATTGCAACTCTCTGGAAGTTAAGAAAGGTAGTTGGCAAAAAGTGGGGACCTGGTCTGGTGGCTGAGTGTGGACCGGGTGACGGTAGCCAGTTGTCGAGAATCCAAATACTTTCCTGCTGGGGCAATGAGGACGACCCCAATGGCATTATAGGTCCTTCTGGTGTTGCCAACCCCTATATGGATTGTAACGGAGGCCATGGTGACATGCCTAATGATAAGGGACACAAGCGGTTGGCGAGCGAAAGGACGCAATGAGGGTCACACTGCCGTGGACCTCAGGGTGGAGGGATATCCCAATATCCGCCATGAGGGTCATAGAATCAGAGGACCGGCTTAGGTTAGGAAGGAAATATGTCACCTCCTTTCCCTCGAGAGAGCAATGGAAGCAGGAAGGTCATATGTTCACCCCGGGATCTCAAGTATGCTATACTGATGGATCTCGGGTAGGAGACAAGTTTTCAGGAGCAGGAATTTATCTGGAAGGCACTGGTATCGAGGAAAGTTTTTCACTGGGTATGTATGCCACAGTCTTTCAGTCTGAGGTTTTCGCTATCTTGGCAAGGAGCAGGTAAGGAACTGTGGGAAGAGAGGTAGACTTGGTTTGGGTTCCTGGTAACGAGCTCGCAACTGGCTCATCTTGGATCTAGGGGACCTGGTCAGGGACCTGAACCAATCCTCGGAATCACACGAGGTAGTATTAATGGGGCCCTTAATAAATGGGCCTATCAAACTTTAAAGGTCAAAACTGGAGGAGGAACAGAGGATGTAGGCAGGCCCATAGTTTATATATGGACCTAGCAAACTTAAGACGAGATGGCTGCTGAGCCTCAGTCGAAAAGACCTAAACCAAATAATGGGGGTTCTGACAGGCCATTACAGACTTAGGAGACATTTAAGTTTAATAGGAATTGAGGACCCTTTATGACCGACATGTGGAGTAGGGGAGAACACCCGGGTCCAACTTTTGGGACACTGTACAGCCTTTGGGAGGTTAAGACAAAGTTTTTGGTACTGAAAAGCTACAAGGGGTTGAGGTGAGAGACCTTCCATGGACCAAAATCCTGGTGTTCAAAGGCAGAAAGTGGACAGGTGATGGGACGGTGAGGTAGGCATAAAGTGACCACTTGTGGACTACTTGCCGGGCTGAGGCCATCCCCTTTCACTACTACTACTACTATTCCCAAATTACTTGCTTCCTTATCAAACCTTCCTTATTTTATAAAACATAACAGCATTTATTATCGATTTGAAAGAAAAGGACCTTTTTGTACACAGCCACACAAAAAAAAATTGTACTTTTCATGCGACATGTTATCCGTAGTATTTTTGCCTCCTGATCACGAATCCGTCAGAATGTGTCAGAATTGAGATATCACATCACAGGAATTCCTTAACTTCAAAAAACAGGTCAAAAATTGCAAAAATTCACGAAAAAGTGCTAGGAAAAATACAAAACAATGTTCATTTATTTGATTAAGTCCCCGCTGAACGTGAATCCACGGTCAGAATTGATGGTTCTTTTTCTAACCTCAAAAAACGGGTCGATTAAGGTCAGATATCACGAATTAAAAAAAAATATATAACAGATTCGCGCCAAATTTGGTATTCGGGGATTTTCGGGATCACTGATCACGGATCCGATGTCAATTGTTATTTATCAAGATAGCGAATCCAAGATGGCCAACCAATTTTCAAAAAATAACACACTAGCGCCAAATTTGGTATAAGTAGGTTCTCGGGGTCACTGATCATGAATTCGAGGTCAATTTCACAAAATTCAAGATGGCGGATCCAAGATGACCGACCAAATTTTCAAAAAATAACACATTCGCACCAAATTTGATACACTGGGGTGTTCAGGGTCACTGACCACGAATTCGAGATTTACAAAATTAAAAAATATCATTTTTAAAAATTTAATCAATTACCTATGTACTTTATTACCTGAGATTAGACAGAAAACCCGTGAATAATTTTTACAGGAAAAAAAAACAAAATATAGCCAAAAAAAGAAGGTTAAAACATGATTGGGTACTCAGGTTATAAAGCAAACAAAAATATTACAAAATGAATTTCGCAATTCTGGCCTCGAATTCGTAATCAGCGACCCCTAAAACCCCCGTATACCAAATTAGGCGTGAATCTGTCAGTTGAAAATTTGGTCGGCCATCTTGGATCCGCCATCTTGAATTTTGCAAAATTGTCCTTGGATCCGAGATCAGCGACCCCGAAAACCCCCTTATCCAAATTTGGCGCCAATCTGTTATTTCTTAAAAATTCGTGATATCTGACCTTAATTGAACCTTCAATTCTGACCGCGGATTCACGTTCGGCGTGGTCTTAACCATATAAATGAACATTTGAATACCTATAGAAAAAAAATATATTTTTTTTTCCTAGCATTTTTTCGTGAATTTTTGCTATTTTTGACCTGTTTTTTTGAGGTTAGGAAATTCCTGTGATGTGATCGCTCAATTCTGAGACGGGATTTGTGATCATGGGGCAAAAATACTACAGATAACATGTCGTATGAAAAGTACAGACAACTTTTTTTTGTGTGTGGTTGTGTTATTTAACAACTTTTATAATTAAGCTGCTTATTTTTTTAACGGCAAATAAACATTATAAATCAAGAACAATTGTTTACCTGGAAAAAATATTATTTTAATTATGTAACGCCACATGGAGACTTCGAGAGTATCTTACGAACTTGGCCCATTATTTTTATGAATATAAAAATTTTCTATTTTCCTTATAATTTCTAGACATTCTGTATAGTAATACTACTTAAAGGACTTGCCACTTTATTCATATTTGTCCTATGCACCACATTATGCTAGAGATTGTATTACTGAACAAGTTGATACTCGCTCTATCAGACAGTGAATAAAACTCTTTCAATTTTTTATGCATATTCAAATTATGTATGTCCATGGTTAGAGTGGAAAAGAGGGAGAATATATATATATATTTTTTTCATTTTACAAAAAAAAGGCATTCTTGATCAAACTTTTCTTTAAAATGCGATTGGCATGGAGAACTTTCACCTTGCATGTACAGGATGATCAGAAAATCGGTACATATAAAAATTCTTCAAGAATAAACTGCCTTTTGTTCATCATTCAAATAAGTATAATTGGCATGAAGAATTTTATTTAGTAATTTTGTCAAAACGCTGTATTAAATAAATTTTTTGCTGCAACGGAAGCATATTAACAATAACTTTCACTATTATTCAAAAGCTCCATCACTTTCCATTCTGACGATTGTTGTCAAACTGTTTTATTCTCCATCCGCATTTTAAAGACAAGCAAAAATTTTAATCAAGGATGCATTTTTCTCGTAAAATGAACAATAAAAATGTATTGCCTAATGTCCGTTTCTATCAAAGTAGGCCGATTCATACATAATTAAAATTTTAATATAAATTTTATTTCTAAACAACTTTCCTTAATAACAAATTTCTGTATTGTTAAAAACAAAGGCAGTTTATTCTTGAACGATTTTTACATTACCGATTTTCTGACCACCCTGTACATGCAAGATGATAGTTCTCCTTGTCAACGGCATTTTAAAGACAAGCAAAAATTTTAATCAAGAATGCCTTTCTCGTAAAATGAAAAATAAAAATATTTTCCTTCTTTTCTACTTTAACCATGGACATACTGTATATTAAGATTTCAATGTTCCTCATATTTCAAAATTATGTTTATACTTACTATAGAATGTCCTATTATAATAATAGAATTTGGTTTGCTTCCCTCTCTATACAATTCAAATATTCGATTCAGGGAATACTTAATATATTTAAGCTGATCATACAGTAGAGGTCCATATACGCCACTTAATTCAGAATTAAAATCCATTGTAAAATAGTCAAAATGGTAAGACCTTAAACTTAAAGCTTTTCGCAATGCCACTGATGAGAGGGAACGAACTGAAATTTATAAATATTATTTTTCCAATTATAAAAATTACTTTATTTATTAGGACAGTAAATAAATAAAAATTAAAAGGATGTAGCAGGATAATACGAGCAAAATGGCCCCCAAAGTTTTTGTTGTGTAATTGTCCAGATAAAAGTTAAATTGATGTTCATAAGGGGAAAAGCCTGCAAATGAGATTTTGACTACTTCTTTAGTGTGTAATGGACTATTCTTTAAGTGATTTTAAACAAAAAACGTTATATGAATAAAGGGCCACAAATCGATAGTTTTCGATATACAAGGTGCTAAAATTGTCAGAACATGCCATTGAGCGAATAGCACGTTGGCAGAGCTCCTATAGTTTTCATTGTTTAAGTGGTTGCATTGGAAATTAAAAACTGAATTTAAGTCATATAAGAAAATAAGTGAGAGTGCTGTCACAACGGGTCTTAGTTTTTCATCAAAAGACTGAAGTGCAGTGAAAATTTGACATTTGTTAATTCAGCAGAACAATGACAAGCTTGTCCGATCATATTAATAAAGTGGTAGCCATGGGCAAGCCGGAAACACTAGTGGTTTGTCTGACAAATCCAATATGGATGAAGTTGAACAACTGATTACAAAGGTCTGTAGCTACTTCGTACGTCAATTAGAAGATAAACTTGAAAATAAATTTTCCAAATTAACTGAACAAGTTACTGAAGTTTCTAATACAATCAAACTTCTTAATCAAAGTGTAACTTCTAATCAAAAGGAAATTGAGAATATTAACATAACATGTGATTCTCTGAAACAACAAAAAAAGCAAGTACGTTACGATTTTATGGTCTTTTGGAGAACAAAGATGAAAATGTTCTTGATGTAATCGTGTCATTTGTAAATAAAGCATTGAAGATTTCATGTACAGAATTAGAAATTGACAGTGCTTATCGCATTGGCAAAATTGCTGATTCTAGCAGGTCTAGAGCCATAATTGTTAACTTTGTAAGAAACGTTAAACGAAATGAAGTTTTTGCTGCAAGAAAATTATTGAGAAATAGTGAAGTGTCAATATATGAGGATCTTACGAAAAATAGGTATCAATTACTACAGTGTGCCAAAAGAAAATATGGAAAAAGGCACGCCTGGTGCATTGGCGGGAAAGTTTATGCGATACGTGAGGGCAGAAAAATTACGATAAATTCAGAAAATGATCTATAACTTTATTAATGTGGTACAACTAGAAATTTCTTTGTATAAAAACTTTCCTGGTACTATATGGTATTTAGATGTTTACATGTGTTTGTTTTTTTTTGCTGTTTTTTTTTCCTGGTCTGCAGGCATTTACTATTCAGTATTCTTTTTTGCTAATGAAACTGTTAAATTATCTTATTTAATTATTAATCGAAAGTTTTGATAATTCGTTAATTAAAACAAATTTCATTGTAGTTATTAGATATCTTAGTATATTGATGTCTACATATACATACTTTTTCTTTTTTTATATATAGTTAGATCTCATTGTTATGGTTAAATTAATACGAATCAGTTATATTTGTTATACTTTTCGTTTTAGAAGGTGATATCTAAATGATTCTATATAATTTCAAATCAGATGCGATGCATTGTTTTAGATAAGTTTATGTAATTTTGTATACCTAACTAATGAAAGCTAGAGGAAATCTGTTAAAATAGTGATTAACCTGAACACTCTTAGAATTTATTATCAAAACTGCAGGGGACTTAGAACCAAGACAATTAATTTTTACAGAAATTTAGTATACGAAAACTATGATTTATTACTGTTAACAGAAACTTGGCTTATTAATGATATACGGGATTCTGAACTATTTGACGAGAGATATGTAGTTTATAGGAAAGATAGGCGAAGTGAAAAAAACAGGTAAGCAACGAGGTGGAGGTGTTTTAATAGCTGTACTTAAAAAATTTAAAAGTTCTTTAATTAAAGTAGAAACTTATTTAGAAACATTGTTTGTTAAGGTTAATATACAGGGTGGTCCGTAAGTAATGGTCCATAGAGACATACTAGATTTTTTACTTCAAAATATTACGATTGGAGCCAATATGCCTTAATAAAATGTTGATAACAAAAAAGATACAGGGTGTCAAAGTTGGAAATTAAAAATTGAATTTTCGTAATAATTATAATATTTTTGAGTGTATGAACGTGAAAATTTAGGGGTAGATGTTTCTGTATACGAGAAATCATAATTTGTTATCTATTTCGATGTATCTTCTAGAGGGCGCCACATACGCCGTGTTTATGACGTAAATACGAGCATAATTTTTTTATCCACAACGTTAACGCTTCTTTTTTTTAAAAATCTTAAACCTACATTATTTTCGTGAAAAAATGGTATACTTGTCATTAGCTCTAGAAATTGTCCGTTTTCAAGAAAAACGCATTTCAACAATCTGCTGCATGTTTCATTACAGGAAATTTTATCGTAGTGTGCGCTAATGAAAACATTAATTTTGACAATTAAACATTATCCCTTTGTACACATTAAAATACAAATTATCAAGTTGATAAATTTTATTTACAAAACCAGTTAAAGGAGAAATTTAATTAAACAAAACTATGATTTTATCAAGCGTTTAACAAGTAAAAAACTGAATATGTACCTAAGGAAAAATAGGAAATGTTTCAAAGTAAATTTTCAATATGTCCACCATTCACCTCCATGCACTTGTCCATACAATTTATGAAAGTTCGTCTAATATTAAATAATACTATTGGATCAAATAAAGTTGAGGCATTACTAATTTCTTGCCAAAGTTGGACGCGAGTATTTATAGTGTTTTTATAAACAATTTCCTTCATTGTACCCCATACACCAAAATCTAAAGGGTTGAAGTCTGGACTACGTGGCGGCCAAGGAAATATACTACCACGGCCAATCCAACGTTCAGGAAAGTGTTGGTTTAGATATGTTCTTACTTGATGAGTAAAATGTGGCGGAGCGCCATCTTGCATGAACCACATATTTTGCCTCAAATTCAGTGGTAACGCATCCAATAGATCAACAAAGCTATTTTCTAAAAAATTTAAATAACTTGTACCATTTAAATTTCCTGGCAACTCATATGGACCTAGAAAATGGTTTCCAATGATCCCACACCAAACATTAATCTTAAATTCATGTTGAAAGTGCCGTTCTCGAGTTACATGAGGATTTTGAACTTCCCAACAATGCTTATTTCTTAAATTGAAAATACCTCGGCGAGTAAATGTCGCTTCATCTGTAAACAATATTCTGTTGACAAATGTATAGTCAGTATTCTGCTTGTTCCGAATATCACTTGCAAATTGATATCTTGAAGGAAGATCGACAGGTAATAAATTTTGAACTGGTGTAAAATGATATGGATGATATTTTTCTTCATGTAATGTCTTTAAAATTGATGTTTTATTAATTCCCGTGGCTGCAGCTAATCGTCTTGAACTAGTTTGTGGATCATCTGCAATGCGAATTAGTATTTCGTCTTCCTGGTCAGGCGTAATCATTTTTGGTCGACCTAAATTATCTCGTTTAGGACGAAATGAACCACTTTCGCCTAAGTTTCTGAATAGATTTTGAAACAGTCGTTTACCAGGTTGCAATCTGTTTGGAAATCTTCGGCAATATTCACGTTGCGCAGCACGTCCATTGAAATTTTGTTGACAATAAACAACCGTCATATCTCTCATTTCCAAATTCGAGAAATTATTATGTCTCGGCATAATTCGTTATTTTCTTTTAAATACTTAATTGATTTTTACCAAAAATTAATAAATACAATTTGAATTAATTGCTAACCGTCACAATGATTTTTTCTAATTGTCAAAACTGTCTTGGCATTGTCGCACACTACGATAAAATTTCCTGTAATGAAACATGCAGCAGATTGTTGAAATGCGTTTTTCTTGAAAACGGACAATTTCTAGAGCTAATGACAAGTATACCATTTTTTCACGAAAATAATGTAGGTTTAAGATTTTTAAAAAAAAGAAGCGTTAACGTTGTGGATAAAAAAATTATGCTCGTATTTACGTCATAAACACGGCGTATGTGGCGCCCTCTAGAAGATACATCGAAATAGATAACAAATTATGATTTCTCGTATACAAAAACATCTACCCCTAAATTTTCACGTTCATACACTCAAAAATATTATAATTATTACGAAAATTCAATTTTTAATTTCCAACTTTGACACCCTGTATCTTTTTTGTTATCAACATTTTATTAAGGCATGTTGGCTCCAATCGTAATATTTTGAAGTAAAACCATTACTTACAGACCACTCTGTATATGGTATTTCTTTTATTTTTAACTGTACGTATATGGCACCACAGTCAAATTCTCAATTTTTTAAAGATTACGTTGATATATACGAAATTATAGATGAGATTTTAATTTAAATACAAACCTAATTATATTTGGAGATTTTAATTTACCGTATGTATTTGGCACACAGTTTACATTTCATAATGACAGCAGATCCGTGACTTACATAGGTGAACTATTAAGTATGTATAACTTAAAATCTTTTAATAATTGTCTTAATGAGGATCGGAAAACTTTAGATTTGGTATTTGCCAATTCACCAGTTTCAAATAAAGAAGAGTTAGTACCTCTTGTTAATATTGATAGGAAACATCCTCCTTTATTGGCCGAAATTAATATTACTAAATTGAAGTATTTGGAAAATAATAACAATAATTTAGCAGATAGAAGTATAACTTTAAACAAGCTAATTTTACATTATTGTACGAATTACTTAATAATTGCAACTGGGAAAGGTTGAATTATTTTTCTGATGTTGATGATGCCGTAGGCTATTTCTATTTGAAATTTTAGATATTTGTGTTCCAAAATATAAAAAAATTAATGATAAATGTAGGAAAACATACCCACCTTGGTTTACAAAAGAAATAAAAATTAAATTGAAACAAAAAGAGTATTTTAGAAAAAGAAAATGTCGTTCTGAATTTTTTTAAACTCTTATAGGGAATTAAGAGCAAATT